CTTTGAAGAAAAAAATCCCAAAAGACATTTGTGCAACCAATAGACAGTAATGTATTTATAACAAATAAGTGCAACAGAAACAAAGGCGATGTGTTAAGGGAAAAAAGTGCAGTATTGAAAAGGGAAAGTGCTGGGAATGAACAGAAAATAAGAATATTGATACTGCTGCCAGGAGCAGTACAAAATAATCATTTCTGTCTGCCTGCATCAGCATCAGTGTTCAGGGAGCACACCTGGAGAATGCAAAGGCAGTTTTTGCTCCAAGCCCCTCATTTCCATACAAGTACAAAGCCACAGGACCAGCCCTGGGTGGTGCCAGTCCCCAGGCTGGGGCCAGGGCGAGTGCTGGGGCTGAGCCAGTGCCCGGCTGAACCGGGACCACCACCCCCGCCAGAGAGACCCTCAGGGGGCTTCAACAGCAAAGAACAATCCCAAACATTTAAAAACAAACAAACAAGGATAAAAACCCCACCAAAACCAAAAAGCAAAGTACATTTCTCAGGTACATTTGCAATCGGGGACCTGGGATCCAGTCCTATTGATCCGACTGGAAGCACCATCAGTGTCAGAGGACAGCCTGGGCTACAGGACTCAGGTGCCCACAGGAACACACCAGCCCCACACCCCTGTCTGGCTCCTTCATGTCTCAGGCCCAGAGAACACACTACAGTCACAAACAGAGCCCTCCTCCCACTCCCTGAGCACTCCACTGCCGTCTTCCTGCTGAACTCCCCCACTCTGCTTCTCACCAGACATTTCCCAAAGGCTGATTTGCACCAGGAGTAAGAGTTATCAAATATTTGGTGATTATATCAGAAATAAAAACTTGTACACAACACCGTAAGGATAATACGTGGGACTTCTGCAAGCATTTCCTCCATTGAAGGTTTTACTGTGGTTGGGGCTGGGTTGGTTTTGTAAAAAAAGGCTGAAGGTATGGTGCCATCTCCTGGACAGGACAACCTAATCCGCCAACCGTTCAGTGTTCTCGATTTTGCTTCCCTACAGAACACAGAGTTCACAGGATCCCAGCCAGGTTTGGGTTGGGAAGGACCTTAAAGCTCATCCAGTCCCCTCTACTGCCCCGGCAGGGACACTGCCACTGTCCCAGGGTGTCCCAGTGTCCAGCCCGGCCCTGGGCACTGCCCGGGATCCAGGGGCAGATCTGGGCACCCTGTGCCAGCCCTGCCCACCCTGCCAGGAACAATTTGTCCCTCATCTCCAATCTAAATCTCTCCTCTTTAGTTTCAAACCATTTCCCTGGTCCTATCACTATCTGCCAATGTAAAAAGTCACTCTCCCCCTTTTCCCAAGCTCCTTTAGAGACGGGCAGGGGCTCTGAGCTCTCCCTGCAGTTTCTCCTCTCCAGGTGAGCACCCCCAGCTCCCCCAGCCCGGCTCCAGCCCCGGAGCCTCCCCCGGGCTTGTCCCAGCAGCTCCAGGTCCTTGCTGTGCTGGGGATCCCAAATCTGGGCACAGAGCTCCAGCAGCCCCGCGGTGCCACAGAGGTGCCACAAGAACACCCACCCATGAGAGCACAGCCTCAGACTGTTCGCACATTGGGAGAGGGAGACTTTTCTTCTGGGCATTTTAAATTTCTTTCTAAAGCACGTATCGGTGTCTGTTTAATTCGAACATGCTGCCCCCTGGGACTCATTAGCAGTTTAACAAACTGTCCGGGTACAAACACACAGCTGATAAAAAGACAGAATCTTAAAATATTGTATGTATGCCTACCAAAATAATCTGGGTGAATGATGGAGGTGTCAGGGAAGTGCTCAACCACATCAAACATTGAAAACATTTCTGAGACGGGCTGTTTAAATATTAAATAAATACCCTGAACTTCTGCAAATGTCAAACAGGAGAAATGATGGAATGCTATTTTTCCTAATCTGTTTCCCACTGTAATTATGGACTCTATACTCCAGCTAAAAAGATCATTTATCTTCTGCTAAGCGTTTCAATTGCTTTGTCTCCAATAAATTGCAGACATTACCTTTGACAGGTAACTAAGCCCACATACCTATATGTGGGCATCACAGCTGATGTGCCTAGAAAATATTTAACATTTTTCTTACAAATGACTTTAATAAAATGTTTATAAAATGTTTCATCTCTATTTTTGTGAAAGCTTTTTTACCAAATTATGTATTGCCAAAAAAATAATTTCTTTTACCCAGAAAGACTAATTTTAGGGAGGGAAAGGTTACTTCCAGGAAAATGTTCTGAATTGTATCCCATTTTTTATAATACCACCAGTGTAACAATATGGTGTTAATATACAGCAGTATGCAAATAACAACACATGTAAGTTATTTTTCCATGAGCTGACCTGGCCACCAGCATGCAGTGGGGACATTTCCACTGTGACACGGATACACAGATAATTTATGCAAAATTAACCCAAACCATAAGTAACTGCTTGTGTGAGAACTGGGAAACTAATCAAGTAGAGACAGCACTAATGAGCTTTGGCAGGCAGGAACGAGGGCTGTGCCAGGAGAGGGGATAAAGGGAGGGGAGAACTCATCCATGGGAGCAGAGCAGGGCCACGCTCTGCTGATCCTGGGCACAGAGTCACTGCAAAATGTGGACACGCTGTTAGAGAGCCAGGAAAATTACAGCCTGCAAAATCATTCTCAGGCTGGAGCTTCTCCTGCTCTCTCAGCTCCATTCCCAAGCTGATAACGTGTCAGCTCTGGTAGGGAGATTTTCTCCCAGGATGATAATTTGGTCGAAATAGAATGGAATTAATAACATTATATTAACACCTGGTACCGACCGTGGGACTCATCCTGAAGTATGGTCCCAGTTTTCCCAATTATCCAATGAGCTGCTGTCCTGTCCTAGCACTGCAGAAGATACTATAAAAGTAAGAATCGTGCTCTCAGTAAATGCCTTCTTTTCTCTAAGGAGGTCTGTGTGTGTTACAGTCATTGCTCTCTCTCCAGCTCAGTAACCACAGGAAAACACCTCCAGGATCCCCAGGTCCATCCTGTGCCCCATCCCCACCCTGTCCCCAGCCCAGAGCACTCAGTGTCACCTCCAGGGATGGGCACTCCACACCTCCCTGGCAGCCCCTGCCAAGGCCTGACCTCCCTTTCAGTGAAGAAATTCTTCCTGCAGGGCACAGCTCAGCACCACACCTGTTTATTTTTGCCACCTGAACCATGTAGGCATTTCCTCCTATTTTTATGCAGCATTTAAAATCTAGTTCTAAGAAAAAGGACCAGTGAGAACAGAGATTCACAGCATTTACCAACATATTTAATTCACCTTGAAATACCAGATATTTACTGTTCTGGGTGGGATTACAGGAAATCTCAGATAAATCAGAGACTTTACTTCAGTAGTTATTTTTGATGCCATTTAAGCCAGGCAAAGCTGAGCAGCAGGTCTGGTGTTACAGGTCCATCACTGCTGAGAACAAGTAGTTTCTCACTGTGCCTCTGTGAGAGCTTAGATTACAAAAATGACATCAAATCTCAGCACTTCCATAAATATTCTGAGCTGGAGCATTTTCCATCTGGGGTGTCAGAGGGACTCAGGCTCTCCACTGGCAGCACAGGTCACCGCTGCTCACACCGCAGGTGACGGACACCTCTTCCTCGCCCAGTTTGATGGAATTTGGTGGAATAAGCGTGTTTAGAAGCAAACAGCGGTGTTTATTCTATTGCTGCACTGCTCTAGTGCAGCAGCGAGTGGAGGCAGGGCTGCAGGGACCAATGCAGCCAGGATTCGGGGCTGTGTGATCCCAGCACAGGCGGGGTGCCAGCCCGTGGACTGGGGACATCCCGAGGTGCTGGTCCAGCTCCCCGGAACCAGAACGACAGAGATCCTGCACAGCCCGGCGAGGGGCTGGGGAGTCCGGGCTCTGAGCAGGGAAAAGGTCCCGGGAAAGCCGGGACTGCCGGGCAGCGCTGCTGTGAGCACTGGACACTCGGTAGCGCAGAGCAGAGGTGCGGCTCCAGCAGAAGAGGCCACGGTCCTTAGGGCGGCGAGTGGAGGGCACAGGGAAGGAGCAAACGGATCTTGGTGCTGGGCATTGCTCTGGCCGGGACTGGCATCCCCTGCATCACAGCCTCCACTGACAGAGCGCACTGAAGCATTTATCCTTTTTTCTTTCATCTTCTCTGTCAGCAGTTTACGATCACGAAAAACTATGGATTTATCCTACTTTTATTTTTAACTTCATAAATCCTTTTTTTTTTTTTTCCTCAGTAGCTCCTATTGTGCTTTTACAGCTACTTTTTATTGTAAGATTTGTGTATAATGAGATCTTATCACGGCAAAGCCTTCTTTCATTCCCGCCGATTGCACTTGGTATCTTTAATCTCACCAGACTCTGAACACAAACGGAACCCGCAGATCAAAACCCACAATATCCGAGGCAAGGGACGGCAGAGGGGAAAACCTTCAGCTGGAAAAGCCTTCAGCGGGGTGAGTGCTGCCAGTGGCTAACGGGGAGGACAGGCCAGCAGCGCGCAGTGAGCCGCTTCGCTTCGCTTCGCTTCGCTTCGCTTCGCTTCGCTTCGGCTCGGCTCGGTTCAGTTCGGTTCGGTTCCGCGGCTCCGAGCGCTGCGGGTGCGGCCGAGAGAAGCCCCAGCAGGCGGCACCGGGCGGGCAGGAGGGACAAGGGCAGTTCCGCTGCGATTCGGACTCTGCTCCTCCCCGCATTTACACACCGGGCACCCGACACCGGGCACCCGTCACCATCCCCGACGGGGACCCGGAGCTGCCCCCGAGCTGTGCCCGCCCCCAGCCCCGCCCGAAGCCCGGCAGAACCACCCCTAGAGCCGCCCGGAGATCACAGAGCCGCCCCTAGAACCGACCCATCCCGGCAGATCCGCCCCAGCCCCGGCCGGAGCCCGGCAGAGCCGCCCCTAATCCCGCCCCCGTCCCGGCAGAGCCGCTCCCAGCCCCGCCCGGCCGGGCGGTCCCGATTGCTCCGCACCGCCCCGGCCCCGCCGCGGTTTCCGGGCCCGGCGCTCCGCGGCCATGGGGCAGCGCAGCGCGGCGCGGAGGGAGCACACGGCCCGGCGGCTGGAGCGGCTCGCGGCGCTGCGAGGTGCGGCGGGCGGGACTGGGGATGGGGATGGGGATGGGGATGGGGATGGGGATGGGACCGGGACCGGGACCGGGACCGGGACCGGGACCGGGACCGGGACCGGGACCGGGACCGGGACCGGGACCGGGCCGGGCTGGGGCTGGGGCTGGGGCTGGGACTAGGACTAGGACTGAGGCCGGGGCCGGGCCGGGCCGGGCTGGACTGGGACTGGGAGCGGGAGCGGGACTGGGACTGGGGCTGAGCCGGGGCCGCTCTCTCGGGCCGGGGCTGAGCCGGGGCCGTTCTCTCAGGCCCGGGCTGAGCGGGGCCGTTCTCTCAGGCCGGGGCTGAGCCGGGGCCGTTCTCTCAGGCCCGGGCTGAGCGGGGCCGTTCTCTCAGGCCCGGGCTGAGCCGGGGCCGTTCTCTCAGGCCCGGGCTGAGCCGGGGCCGTTCTCTCAGGCCCGGGCTGAGCCGGGGCCGCTCTCTCAGGCCCGGGCTGAGCGGGGCCGTTCTCTCAGGCCCGGGCTGAGCCGGGGCCGTTCTCTCAGGCCCGGGCTGAGCGGGGCCGCTCTCTCAGGCGCGGCCGCCCGGCCCGGCGAGCTGTGGGACGCGGTGGTGCTGACGGCGGCGGACGCGGAACAGGCGAGCGCGTTCCGGGAGCAGCTGCAGGAGAAGCTGCGGCGGGGGCAGCTGCCCGGCGGTGTGCGGTACCTGGTGTGCGCCGACCCGCCGGGACCCAGGATCGGTGAGTGCGGGGCAGGGATCGGGCCGGGATCGGTGCCTGCGGGAGCGGGGCTCGGCTCGGAGCGTGTCCTGGAGGTGTGGGATAGCACTACGCACACTTACCTTCACCTGGTTATTTAAACGGTTTGATTATGTTTTAGTACACTAGCCAATGGTGATGTAAAACTGCTCATAATACCATCCTGTAATTCTTAATTCCTGTTTGCTTTGATGTACAGAGTAAGTAATCTCAGTATTCTCTGCAGTGTAGAGTAATCTGCAGTGGCTAATTCTCAGGAATCTGGCAGTTTTAGTAGGAGCACATAAAATATCCCCAACCATTTCCTCAGATCCCAAATCTTCCTTATTTCTGTACTGTAAATGTCAGAAGTATTTCTGAGCACTGCCTTGAATCCATTATTAGGCTTTTACGTGACTTGTTTCTTCCAGGAGCTGGTTTTTGTGGCTGAGGTATGGCCTGTTTAATTGATTAAATGTTTCAAATGGTGAGGCTGTGCAGAGGTGCCTGGGAGGGATAATCAGAGTTTTCCCTGGAGCTCTCTGCTCAGGATGCCATCCCCTCAGAGGGCACACACTTCCAGAGGGACTGGAATCAGCTTCTGTGTGTGATCTTATCAGCCATGATACAGTAGAAAGACTATCCCATCTCTGGATGGGCACCAGTACAGCTCACCTGTCAGAACAGGTATTGCTAGAGCTCTTCTCACAGAAACTAAAACTCTTTTTCTTTAGGAAATGGTGGATCAACTCTTCATGCTCTTCGGTGCTTGGAAGAGCAGTATGGTGATCAGTGGACTTCCTTCACTGTGCTGCTAATCCATTCTGGTAAATTCAGTTTTATGTATTTTGCTCTAAAATGATACCTTTTCTTTCTTTTTTTTTTTTTTTCTTCCTCAAAATAATAAAATGGCAGAGGAACTGGAGTTCCTTGAGAAAAGTAACCCATGTTTCTGATCGTTTGCAATTAGGTTGGTGCTTGCAAGATGTTATTGTCACTTCAGCATTTCTTTCAGCACTTAAGTTGCTCAGTCAGTGAGAAAGATGTGATTCACAGGTGGGATTTGAGTTTCTGCCTTGAAACATCCGTGTAAAGAACACAACCCTTTCTCAGGGCTTGGGCTCCTCTTACCTCTGGGCAGGCTGAATATTCCCCTTCCTATCCACTGAGTCAGGCCCCTTCCAGATGTGGAAGAACATCAGTTCTGCAGAGGAGAAAGAAATCAAGTGTTGTGACCGAACCACTGGCTTAAAATTCCCATTGGGAATGTGGGGGTTCTCCTCCCAACCAAAAGGCAGGTATTGTTTGCTACTGTCACTTCAGTGACAGATAGCTCTGAGACAGAAAGGTGACACAATCAATCACAGTTTTAATAGGAGCTGTATAGGGCAGGCTGGGTTTTGTATACAAGGTCAGATCTGCTCTGGGACTTGGTGTATGCCCAGGCCAAGAGGTTTCTAATGCTTTTGTGTACCTGTGAAATAGCTGCCTGTGTGTGGGTTTTTGCTCACCTCTATGCAGTGTGTCTGTGTAATTGAGAGTTTTTTGCCAGGTGGTTACAGCCAGCGTTTGCCGAATGCCAGTGCCCTGGGCAAGATCTTCACAGCGCTGCCCTTGGGCCAGCCCCTGTACCAGATGCTGGAGCTCAAACTGGCCATGTACATCGACTTCCCTCGCCACATGAGGCCAGGAGTCCTCGTCACGTGCTCAGATGACATCGAGCTGTACAGCACTGCAGTGACAGAAGCCATCACCTTTGATAAACCCGGCTTCACTGCCTTGGCTCACCCGTCAGACCTGGCAGTGGGGACCACGCACGGCGTGTTTGTGTTGGACCCAAACAGCTTTTCGGGAAAGGGGGGGCTGCAGTATGGATCATGCTATCGTTTCCTGCACAAGCCTGACGTGGAGACCATGCAGCAGAGTGGTGCAGTGTGTGTGAGGGGGGATCTCCCCCAGCTCAGCCGCCCTGGGAGCCCTGGGGGCTCGGAGTGTGTGTACACCGACAGCGTGTTCTACATGGACCACGGCACTGCCAGGCAGCTGCTGCTGTTCTACAAGCAGCTGGGCACTCTCTGCTGTGAAATAGATGCATATGGTGACTTCCTGCAGGCCCTGGGGCCTGGAGCCACTCCAGATTACACCGAGAACACCAGCAATGTCTGCAGGGAGGGCTCGGGGCTGGTGGCAGTGAGGCAGCAGCTGTACTCCCTCCTGCAGGGCACTGCCCTCAACGTCATCGTCCTCAGCAACTCCCAATTCTACCACCTCGGGACTGCTCAGGAGTATCTGCTGCATTTCACTGCTCAGAGCAAACTGAGATTTGAGCTGGGCTTGCAGCCCGTGGCTTTTAGCATCCTCCCTGGCACAGCCACGAGCTCGGAGCAGCTGAGCATCATGCAGAGCATCCTCGAGCCCGGCTGTGTGGTAGGGCCTGGCTCTGTCATTGAGTACTGCAGAATTGGGCCTGGGGTCTCCGTGGGGACAGGCTGCATTGTTAGTGGGTCGTGCCTGGATTTCAGTGTAGACATACCCTCAGGCTGCTTCCTGAGTTCAGTGAGTGTGAAAATCGCTGCTCAAGTGAAGTATGGCACCATGGTGTTCGGTGTAGGTGACGACTTGAAGAAGAGTGTGAAGTTGCTGTCAGATATCCACTCCCTCCAGTTTTTTGGGGCCAGCTTACCAGAATGCCTTGACCTGTGGAGTGTAGAGGCCTCAGAGCAGCTCTTCTCCAGTGAGGACACACGTCTGGGGCTGTGGACTGCGAGGATTTTCCCTGTCTGTTCTACTCTGAGTCAATCAGTTAGGATGTCACTGAACATGCTGAATTCTGTGCTGCACAAGTCACCTTTCAAACTGAGTGGCTTTCAGCTTTTGTCTGTTGAAGAAATGCTCACCTACAAAGATGTGGAAGATATGCTGAAGTTTAGGAAGCAAATTTATGATGAAATCTGCCTACAAAGACAAAAAGAATGAACAGTACTTGAACAAATCTCCTCTTTTCATTTGTGGATGATTGTTTACTTCCCAGCTTGTAAGAATCCTAAGGGAAAAGTACACAGATCTTTTCTCTGATCTCATTGAAGTAGAAATTAAGAAATTGAGTATCATTAATAAAGCAGCAAATGCAGATAAACTGTTCTTTTGATTGAAGTAGGGAAATATTTCAGATCTGAAAACACTGGTGACTTTTTGTGGGTTGCATCTCATGTCTTGTAGTCTTTGTCAATTGGGATATGATACAGAAAAAATTAATTGTCTGTTTGGCTGAAAACTGCTTTAAAAGCTTATAAAGGGTAGAATATTGGTTCCAGCAACAGGAAATAATACAGTTTATGTTTCTCTCTTTTCATGCTGCCATTTTGCAATACAGTCTCAGTTAGCTAGAGGTAAAATGATTAAAAGTGTTTTTAATTCAAGACATGTTGTCTTAGGCATTAATAAATTTTTCTCTTTTGTTTTGTAACTTTTTTGTCCCTTCCTGTTTTTTGCCAGAGGACAAAAGATTAGCATGAGAGATTATTCTTCTCCTTGTGACTCAGTACTGGGGTCAGCACCTGCCACAAGACATACTGGTTTATTTTTTTAGCAGTAGTTGTTGGAGGCTGGCAGTGTGATGGAGAATGAAACGGAGTGAGTGATGTGTGCCATGCAAAAAGCAGCATTTTGTGTTTCTCCAAAATGAACGTTGCAGTCCTTGCTGTCCTGAGCAGAGCAAAACCCAGAGAGGTTTGTTGTGAGTGGCACCACAGTTTGTATCCTCAGAGAAACTCTGCCCCTTCTCCCCCTTCTGCAAATAAAGTTAATATTCAAGTCCTCCTGCTTCCAGTTTAGATGCCCAAGGTCCAGCTCCAGACAGACAAATCTGCTGGTTTTAGGAGTATGCTGTGCAGTATATCAGTGTGATTTGGCTGTAAACATGGTGCATCTTTTCCTCTTGAATGTCTCTGTGGGTTTTCATGTTTTATTTAGTGTCTCATGATGACAATGTTTGTGTCCCTGCTGACTGAAATCCCAGATGGCACCTTTGTTATTCCACCTACGAGGCAGCAGAGTAACATCCCCTGAGCATTCCCCACCCTGCTTTAACCTGCACTGGGTTTTGCTCTTCATTAATAAACCTTCCAAGAGGAAATACAAAGAAGATAAACATGGAGGTTGGGAATTGCTGGGGTTGACTTCAAAGGAATAAAAATTTCTGAGCAAATAGAGGGTCTAAAAGTCAGTAAATAAATATTGGTGGGTCTTAAAGTCTGTATGAAATGTTAAACAATGGCAGCAGTAGGTTTGGGAACACTCAAGTCAGATAAATGCTTTAAGTCACAAAGTGGAGGTAGTCATAGAGCATGGAGTTGTCATTTTTGTATCATCCTGTTGGCATAATTTATTCATCTGCTGTTACACAAAGATTTTAGGAGCAGCATGTTTGACACAGACTTTGCATGTCGAGCTGGGCACAGACTTCGTTTGGCACAGACTTTGCTGAGGGTTGCTGTGCTGCCAGGTGAGTTCTCTGAGTGTTTGGTGGCAGGGAAATGATCCTTTTAACATGGTTATCCACTTCAACTCTTCCAATTGCATTGTTCTGAATTCCCTGAGTACCAGGTACTGATTTCATTAGTGGAAGCAAACTGGATAAAAGTAGGAAGTGGGTTTGTTCCTGGCACATAAGTATTTGTGGGAAAGGTTGTGGTGGGTTGGGCCAGCAGCAGCTGCTGTGCCTTAGGGAGCAGTGTGAATTCAAAGACAAAAATCCAGGAGTGCCATCCTGGTGGTAGCCATGGACTAGCACAGCTAGCCCCCAGGTGAGATCTTGAGGCAAAGGTTTTAATAAAAAAACCAATCTGTTGTAATGGAATAAGCATGGATTTACCAGGTAAGAAACATTGCACTGCTTTCAGTCTTTCCTCTTACTCTGAACATTTGTGTCTCAAATTAAGAGGCAGATTTCAGTCAGTATTAACCCTGGATAACACCAGCAGGTTTAATGGATTTACCCCACAGGTATGGCAATGGTGATGTGCCATTCTTCATTTTTAAACTGCAATCAAGTTTAATGTAAAATGTTATGAGGAGCGTGACAATATATCTTTTATTTTTAGAGAACTATGTTAATTATTTTCCCATATGGAGGGATTTGAAAGCCATGGATGTGACACTTGGAGACAGAGGTTTGTGGTGGCCTTGGCAGTGCCAGGGGAATGTTGGACTTGATGGTCTGGGAGGGCTTTTTTCAGTCCAAATGCTTCTTTGATCCTACAATTCTCTGTACTGCAGCTTTTTATGAAGTGTGTACATTTTTGGCTATGACAAATTGCAGTCCTTACAGCAAGGGTCGTGCTGCAGTGTGAGTATCTCTGTTTTAAAACCAAAAAGCCTGCAGACCAGACCATAATGCAAGGCTGATGTATTCACTCCGTGTATGTATTTTATCTGTATTGCATTTACAGCTCCAGGTAAATCTTTGTATTTCACAGTCTGCTGTTAATGTAGATGACAACAATTTTCTCATGCAGCCAGCTGGGATAAGTGTGTCCCAAGGAAACTGGGAAACTTGTGCAACTTCACAGCAAGGTCAGTGGTTTGGGGGTTGCTGGTTTCCAGTACCAGGACAGCATCCTGTGGTTTTCCTGCAGTCTGAGTGAGGGATGCAGCCAGGAGGGTGCCAGGTGGGACTCATCTCTGAAACCTCGCGTTTGGTTTTGGTTGATCCCCAGAGGGCTGCAATGTTTGATGGCCTCTAGATCATTGCCTGGCTCCATCTGTCCTGAAATGCAGTTCGGGCTGGTACAATCTCAAGATGAGCTGTTAATGATTTTTTTCATGTCAGCTTTCTTTATTGAATTAGTTTTGCTGTGTAATACAATAATAGGGCTCATCATGAACATGATGGCAGTGATTTCCCTGAATGCCTTGAGCAGGCACTGTGATCAGCAGAGGTTTAGCCCTGCTGAAACCTGAGAGGCTTCTTTCAGTGACCTGGTGCAGGAAACTGCAGCCGGAGAGATTGGCCACGTAACAAAGAGCACAGGGGAAGGCGGCTGCAATAGAAAGGAGCAGCTGAGAGGGATCTGTGCCCGAAGGATTTGGGGAGCTGACAGAGGAAGTGAGCTCGGAGGATCAGCTGGGTCTGCAGAGCAATGTTCGTGCCTTGCAGGCTGGTTTTGCTCCAGCTCACAGGCTCCAGCCTCTCCTCGTTCCCAGAGCTCTTCTCTGATGCCAGAGCTTCGCGTTTCGCTCTCTGCACTTGAGCCCCCTTGGAAAGGCCTCTCAGATGTGAGAGCAAAAATAACAGCACAGTGCTGTGTGCACTCTGTCCATCTGCAAACACTGCAAACTCCCTTCCAAGGGCCACAGAGCTCCTCTGCTTTCCTCTTGAAAACACCTCTTTTCTTTTAGCACCCTCTTCATTTCCTGGGACACATCTGAATGTCACCAGAATGGCACTGAAGTTTATAGGAACAACTTAGAGCTTCTTCAAGTAAATTATAAATGTGGATATATGTTAATTGTGGATATGTTCTGATTAATTTGAAATAAAGATAATTTCAAAAGACTTACTCCTGTAAACCCTCCTGGGAAGGGCATTTAAAAGCTCAGCTCTCACGGTTGTGTGCTGACTGGATGTGGGAATCAGTTCCCAGGCTGGTGCTTTTCTGAGAATCCTTGGTCAAGTATCTCAGGATGCATTGTCACAGCAGTTCAAACTCTTGTGAAATAGATCCTTGGATTTGTACGTGAATTTCTGCAAGTGAAGGGACAGGCTGCAGTGCCAGGAGCTGTCAGGGCAGCGAGGTTGTTGCAGTGGGATGCAGTGTGCAGGAGGTTTAGGGATGTGTGTTCTATTAACATGTCTGAAATCCTTCACTGGGATGAGAACTCACACAGAACAGCTGCCAAGGTCAATCACCACACTTTCAATACATAAATATAAATATTTGTGTGCGTGTATTTGCATTTCACTTTGAATTATATATTGCTCTTCCTGAGTGCCATACCCAGGTGCTGCCAGTGCCACACCCGTGTCATGGGCTGTGAGCTGCCACCACCCCTGGCCTCTGAGGTGGGGACCCTCTGCACTCCCTGGGGCTCCCCTGCACTCCCTGGGGACCCTCTGCACTCCCTGGGGCTCCCCTGCACTCTTGGGGACCCTCTGCACTCCCTGGGGCTCCCCTGCACTCTTGGAGACCCTCTGCACATTTTGTGGATCCTCACAGAGCAGCCGGGACTCAGCTCCTAAATTCCCTTTTCTCTCCCAGACCAGCAGCTCGCTGCCAGGTCAGCACCTCCCAGTGCTGGAGCGTTCAGGAGATGAAGGCAGGTGTTGGTTGGGAACGAGCAGCAGCATTTTCAGCAAGGTGAGTGACTGCTCCTGTGATTTCAGCCCAGTTTTTCAGTGAGCTCAGGGGCTGTTCCTGTGATTTCAGCCCAGTTTTCAGTGAGCTCAGGGGCTGTTCCTGTGATTTCAGCCCAGTTTTCAGTGAGCTCAGGGGCTGTTCCTGTGATTTCAGCCCAGTTTTTCAGTGAGCTCAGGGGCTGCTCCTGTGATTTCAGCCCAGTTTTTCAGTGAGCTCANCAGCCCAGTTTTTCAGTGAGCTCAGGGACTGTTCCTGTGATTTCAGCCCAGTTTTTCAGTGAGCTCAGGGGCTGCTCCTGTGATTTCAGCCCAGTGTCCAGCACAGGCCATTGTTGCATGACATTCCTGTTGGCACAGAGTTTATTTTTAGCCAGAGACTATCACAAGTATTTTTCAGCAGCACTGTCACTGCCCCTGAACAGAGGCTCATATTACTGCAAGAACTTTGCTGAAACAAAGAAGATACATTGGAAAAATGGGGAATTATAAATCCAGACCAACCCAGACCTGCACGGGTAACTAATGTCACTTTTTTACAGGCGATGTGCCATCCGTCCATCGGCAAGGAGCAAATGGTATTTCAGGAGATAACTCATCCCTGCTTTACTCTTGAGTTCAAGGCTCAGGTATTGTTCTCGGCTTAACCCAGATCCAGGCTGTGAAAGAAGACAAGCCAAAAAAGCTACTAAACTGAATTTGTTTGGGCAATTATATAAAATCATAGTAACTTGTATACTATGTTGATTTAGCTCATACTTTGTGAGAAAAACCTTTACATCTCCAACCTTTTTCTGCTGTGTATCTGTTGAGGAAAAAAAGAGCTAACAAAGGTAACCTGAGCTTTCAGTTTTCTCTTGAATATTTTTTTAATATTAAAATATTTCTGGTAGGGATTCATACATACTCACTGCCTCTGAAATCCTTGAATACATTTCTGTGTTGGCTTCAGCAGGAAGAATTTAATAGCTGTAATATTTTAAACTTTAATAGATACATATACAAAATTGTACAATTGGATGTTTAAAAACCAAGTGTTTTGTGACTGGGGCATGGTGATCGTTGTGCTTTGAAGTGTTTTATCAGCTGGGAGTTGTTGTTGCAGATGAATGGAAGAAGAAAGTCAGTGAATCCTACGCCACGGTCACGGAGCGCTTGGAGGACGACCTGCAGATCAAGGAAGAGGAGCTGGCAGAGCTAAAGCGTGTTTTCAGGTAAAACACTGAGAGTGGTTTTTATTTCTTTCCAATGGCTCTTTGCTATCAGTGTTTCCAGTTCCAGGTGTTCTGCATGGACAGTTTCTCAGGTATGGAATGCCTGTTCCTCCTGTCTATTTTTGGGAATTCATCATCACCGTGCTGGGCAGAGCAGACTCCAGAATTAGTGGCTGCTGCTGATTAATGCCAATATTTCACAGCCAACACCTGTCCTTTTGTACCTGCAGAGCTCGGGTGCAGCAGCACCCAGCTCTCAGACTGCAAATGAGCTGAGGAAACAATCGAAACGTTGTTTTTTTTTAATTGTAACCTTGTTAAATGTGTTAAATGGCTGCTCCTCCCTCAGGGCGGGTTCATAGTTACACAAATCCAATCAGGGTGCGCTGATACTGGAGGGAAATCCCAAACTTCTGTGGGCAGCCAAAATCGAGATTCTCCAAAGAAATATCAACTGTAGGTGTAGTTTGTTTCCAATAAATGGAACCACTTCGAGTGTTTGATGGATCAGTAACAAATCAGTCTGTGCAGAAGGAAACCCACAGGGCTCAGGACAGGAGCTGAAATGTCCAAGTATTGTCTCGTTTAACACCTGTGAGCAAGCACAGTGATCACTGTCCCCCTGATCTCATCTGGGCAGTATAAACTCACTTTTTGGTGGGATTTTCCTGGTTATTCCTTTCGTTGAGCAAGATGGGCCCTGCTCTGTGTGTGTCCTACTCGCCATTTAAAAATCAATACACGCGTTTTAAAAATACTTCTTCGTTATTATTGCATTAATAATAATGAGGCTGAGCTTGTATGGATTGTTTATATTTTTAAAGAGTCTTTCCTCTTATTTCCCTTAGTTTAGATAAATTTAGAATGCATAGACTGTGATTGCATAAGGGTTTCTCAGGAAGCAATAAATCTTCACCCGACCCCGTAGCAGTGAAGCGTTTCTACATTTCCAGGCTGTGATCTGGGCACAGGCGCAGCCTGGAGGATTTCCGTGGTTTCTGTTTGGGATGTGTCCCCCGGGCTGTGCAGGGAGGGAGGTGCGGGAGGTGCCCGAGAGCGAATTAATTCCTTTTGCGTGGGGGGTTTCCCTTTGCAGCTCGGAGGAAGCGTTCTGCAGAGTGAACCTGAATTTCCGCACGCACAGCGGGCTCTCGCTGCTGCACCTGTGCTGCCTCTGCGGGGGTTCGTGCCGGCCTCACCTGCGGCTCCCAACGCCGCGTTTCCCCATTAACGCACTAAGGGATGCTGCGGCTGCCCTGCCTAACCTGCTGCTGGGCTAGCCCGAGTGATTTCCCTTTATTTTATTATTTATTACTTAGTTGGTGTGATAACCTGAGTGATTTCCCTTTATTCTATTATTTATTACTTATTTGGTGTGATAACCCGAGTGATTTCCCTTTATTTTATTATTTATTACTTATTTGGTGTGATAACTCGAGTGATTTCCCTTTGTTATTTATTTATTTATTACTTATTTAGTGTTCTAACTCGAGTGATTTCCTTTTATTATTTATTTATTTATTACTTATTTGGTGTGCTTACTCGAGTGATTACCTTTTATTATTTATTTATTTATTACTTATTTAGTGTGCTTACTCGAATGATTTCCTTTTATTATTTATTTATTTATTACTTATTTAGTGTGCTTATTCGAATGATTTCCTTTTATTATTTATTTATTTATTACTTATTTAGTGTGCTTACTCGAATGATTTCCTTTTATTATATTATTTATTACTTATTTGGTGTGCTAACTCGAGTGATTTCCTTTTATTATTTATTTATTATATTACTTATTTAGTGTAGTTACTGGAATTATTTACTTTTATTGTATTATTTATTACTTATTTAGTGTACTTACTGAAATTATTTATTTTTTATATTTATTTATTATATTACTTATTTCGTGTACTTACTGGAATTATTTCCTTTTATTATATTATTTATTGTATTATACTACTTATTTAGTGAACTTACTGGAATTATTAATTTGGTTTTTTGTTGTGAGATAGGATTAGGAGGAAGGCAAAATAGGCTATAAGGAAAAGTTATAAGAATCAGAATAAAATTTTAAGAATTTTTTTTTCTCTACAACAGTTTTTTAGGAGGAAGACAAAATAGGCTTAAACGTTAAAGGGCACAAAGAAAACTTTTATTATTAGAAACTACAAGGAAAAATAATAAGAATCAGAATAAAATTTTAAGATTTTTCTTTTCCTCTACAACTTCTTTTTCTTTTTCGCACCAACCACGTTTAGAAACAATTTCGTTAGTTTACTATTTCTAAAATAGTCTTTTATTAATTTAATTGGAAGTGGAGACTTTCTTTTTAGTTTATGGAGATTTTTATACAAGAAATAGGTTTTTTTGTGGCCTCGATGTTTTAGTGATTAGTCCTTTGGGAGAATGGAAATTTGATTATTATGTAATTTTTAAATTTTTTTTACTAGTAGTTTTTTTACAACTGTTACTGAGGACTATATTAGCTTATGGGGTACACTTTAAGGATTATAACAATTTAAACAAAAGGGTTTTTTATATTTGAAAACAGAGAGGGTTTTTTTTGGGGGGGGATAGAAGGTTGTTTTTTTTTTAACTTATGGGATTATAGCTATTTTAATATTTGTTTACTATGGTACTAATGCCTTTGTTCATATTTACAGTTTAAATATTCATATTACCTTTTAAAAGGCCAAAAGGCCTTAAACACATAAACGTTTTCATTAGTGTAACAATGTATTAATATTAAAATTGCTTCTGTATGCATTCCCTAATCCAAGCTCATCACAGAGCGTTTCTGGCTCCACGGTGCCCTGCTGAACAATGAGTGGATCTTGTTATTTCCGAGTGCAAGATCCAAAGGTGGCATGAGAACATCAGAGCACCCGGGGTAGCTGAGAGGAGGCTTAAGAAAACACGCACTAATTATCAGTTTGTGAGCACACTAATTATCAGTTTGTGAGCACACTAATTATCAGTTTGTGAGCACACTAATTATCAGTTTGTGAGCACACTAATTATCAGTTTGCGAGCATTGGAGGAGAGCAAAGAGCTGCAAGGTCTGACCCTGTCCTTGGTTACTGTCACAAGTGTTCAGAAAACAGAGGAATTGATTGAATTTATGTATTTATTCACTGTGCATCAAAAAGGCCAGAGCGAAGCCACGTGCCTGGACCACATTAATGGACCTGGACCACAGGAGCAGTCCCCAAAATCCCATCCTGGTGAGGATGCCCATGCAGGGAGAGCAGTGCTCCAGTTCTGAGATGGCAAAGAGCTCCGAGAATGAGGAGCCAGAGGTTCCAGAAGCATCTTCTGCTTCCTGGAGCTCTCTGCAGCACGGCCTG